CTGTGCTTTAACCCGCTGCGCCACCAGAGAGGGCCCTGCTTCTATATTTTTATGTTTGAAATGATATGACCATTAGTGAGGACTAAAAAGCAAAATGTGAAATGTTTGAATATGGCTATTATCAAAATATTAATAATCTACTACTTTGAAAACTCCATACTTTTTCCATACTATAAAATTTTAGATCTTTCCACCCTTCTCCTCTTTTACTTTTGTTCAATTCTCGAAAGGGATGACTGATTTAATCCAAACGATCAGTTTGAATAAATATGTATGCATTAGCTAATCCCTTTCTTCATTTTCTTGGGCTGTTCTCAGAGAGCAAGGACTTCTACTCATCCAGGAATGGTAAAAAAGCCTATTTTAATTGCAGTGTTGCTAAACCATCACACCACAATGTGAAATCAGAACTAATGCTCAGGCTGGGCATTTGTTTTATTTTTCTTGATAAAATGTTACATCTCAATGTCTTGATAAATAAATAAATTCAACCTGGTCCTCTATTACTGCAGGTGGTTATCTAGGGAATCCAACAAATCTAAATCTATTAAAGATTTAACTATCCTTTCCAAACAATTAGATATTTATGAATGAAGTTAAAGAAAAAGACTGCTCTTTACTTTTGCTTATTGATGCTTAAACATTCAGAATTGTTAAAGGAAATTATCAGTAATAAAAATGTATTTTAGCACTATCTGCTTTTCTCTTTTCTCTTATTCATTGATTTAGATGAAGAAAACATGTTATTTTATTTGATTCCCTTTCTCAAATCACAATAATTTTTAGATTGTCTTAGTCAGAAAATAAAGGGTAGTATAGAAAAAAAAAACTTTTGACTGATCTCTAATTCTTGGTACCTTGAAACATTTTTCTCATTGCTAATTATAGAAAATTAAAAATAGGGTATAGTCAAAAAATAAAAAATAAAGAAATCCCTCCCATGGGCAAGGTAAGTATTATATGAAATTGACTAGTTAACATGGGACTTTGCTGTCCTGATTACAATTGTACAACTTTTTAGAAGAGTGCTAAGCACACAGGCAACTAATGTACATAGAACACAATGTATTTAAATTTAAATATTAGCTAATAGATGATACTAATATTTCCTTACCCTTTGGACTGCAAAAAGTGATACTGTTTGCTTCTACACAGACAGCAGTTTGTGAGGTTTTCACACAGGTTGGAATTCCAATGATTTTGTACTCATTTCCTATATCCATTTTATTCACTGATTCATCTAAATTATTGCACACAGAAGAAACAGTAGTTGAGTTAGTATTAAAGTACTTACCTTTTTTAGTATATAAGATCCATATAGAATGGGACTGTTATATAAATTGAAGCAATTTTATCGCTGTTAAAATTTGATAATTAAATGTAACAATGAATTAACTTCAAGAAGCATGTGACATAACAAGTAGATAATCGCCTATTCTATAATTAAAAGTAAAATAAAATCATTCTGTAGAAGTTGAGATACCTTTGCATTAAATGATGAGAAGTATTAATAATAAAAATGACTTTATAAAGTAATTATTTTATTGGGAAAAAACAATATGTAAGGTATTATTCATTGTCTATAATAAAGGCTATGTACTTTTACACATTACCTAATCATAAATTGTAAGACAAATATTACTATTCCTACTTTTATAAATGAAGAAGTCAAGAAATTAAGTGACTTGTACAAGTCAAAATGGTAAACAGCAGAACTCAAATCCACATCTAGACCTGTGTATCTCAAAAGTCTACCTTCTTACTATACTAGGTTTCTCTCACCTACAGATTGGGTAAATTTTTTTGATAAGTTCAAATTTTATTTATTTTTTATTAAAGATTTATTTATTCATACAGAACTGGGGTGTAGGCCAGAGGTGCAGAGGCAATGAGAGGATTCACCAAAGACAGAGTGGGAAGCAGAATAGGCAGATGGAGGAAGGACACTGCTGAGGGAAGCAAGTGGAGAGACAGGAGAGGTTTGCCGAGCCATGTGGATCATCTCCAGGGCCAGGGTCGAACTGGCACTGAAGCCTGAAGCGCTGCGGCTTACTTGCAGTGCTGTGCTTTAACCTGCTGCGCTACAAGGGAGGGCTCTCAAAGTTTATTTTAAGAATATACTGAAATTCTTGATTCTTCACTACACAGAATTTGGATGGTTGTAAGGCTACGACAGAAAGGTTTACAAGAAGGAACATGGATTAACTTCTCTCTGTGAAGGTCACAGCACTCTCCATTTGTTTTTGTCTCTTTCTCACTCTTTTTATTTTAAAATAAGAAAGCATATTGATATACCCTGTACACCTGAAAGGGAAGCATCAAGCTCAAGAATTAAAAAAATACAAACAAATTGAGAGGGAAAAAAATGTACAAAATGATGTAAAAATAAACTTTTGTAATTAAAAAAAAATACAAATAAATATAAAAGTCCAAAGTCAAGTAGCCAGGCTAAATTCTCCTTTGTAGCATTGGTTCTCTCATGCATAAGTCTCTTTCAAAAGCCTTGCCTGTTTCAACTACTATAAAGCAACAACAACCAGCAAACTAAAAAACAAAAAGCAACTCAAAATACAGAATGAATGAGAAGGGGGAAATAAAAACAGAAACTAATATCTCTCTAAACAGCTTTTCAATTGTGGGGCCTTCCTGGTGATCTAAGGGTTAAGTCTCAGCACTATCACCTCTATGGCCTGAGTTTGATCCCTGTCTGGGGAGATAACCCCACCTGTAGCATATCAGACCTCTCTTGTCTCCTCTGCTATTTCACTTAGCAGAGTATTTCAGTAATTTCTCCTGTTTTGCTCCCCACTCTCTGGTGAACCCCTCAACCTACAAACCTCTGGCCTACATCCAATTCTTTCAAACACAGAAACAAACAAAAAAAAAAGAGAGTTTTTTAATTGTTCATAGAATCTCAGAATTTGGCTGATGTGTCCTGAGGTCAAGAAAAGATCAAAAGGAAGATAAGGAGAGTGTAAATCTGGGTATCTTTACTGATATCAACTTCAAACGATATACTGTTATTTATTTAAATTTTAAGACTTTATTTGAATCCCATGTAAGAGTTTATTAAAATAAATTGTTTTCTCTTAAAATATAAGGATAGCCACTTCTATTTCTATATTGTAGTATATGTTCTGCATATAGAATATAACATAATATAACTATTCTCATTTTCACAATTCTGCCTTCTGAAGGAAGATGCAACTTCCTTGCTAATGATTTTCTTCTTCCTGGTATAACAGGGTGGTCCCTAGGAAAAAGGGAAGTTCCAGGTTCCCTGCCTCACCCAGGGGCAGGAGGGTGGAGCTGAGCAGAGAAAAAAGGATGAGAGAAGAAGAGAAGGAAGCTGGATGGAGAGCCAGAAGGAGACCTGAGGAAGCCACATGGAACAGCAAGCATGTGATGAAGAAGCCGTGCTTGTTTCCTGACCCTGGACTGGTTAAGGCAGATGTGGGTGAGAGACCTGTAGGCGACTATGGCAGTGTTTATATTAAATTTGATTTTGCTCTTTTCCTCCCAGATTTGTCTGGCCATTTCTGACCCTTTTCCATGGGTCCCGGCCAGAAGGTGCTTTAGTCTTGTGGCAGGCTTTCAGGCCTTGTTTTGGGCCAATCCCTTTTGGGTTGACTTTTGCCCATGAGGGGATGGGTAACTTCAGGTGTTTGATTTAGAAGTTATATTCTTTGTGTTCCGTATTGTATATTCACTGTATTAAAGTCCCTTTTCATTAAAGCTTTATATGTTTTGTCTTGTTGCGGCGGATGGCAGAACCCACTTAGAGCAGGCAGGTTTTGGGGCTTCAGGGGTGTCCCTCTCCCCCTATCCTCTAACAGGATTGGGGTGCCCTATAACACTGGCACCTACTTATAAGCACCTACCCATGCAGTTCTCAACAGTTAATCATAGTCAATGTTCACTCATTCATGTACCAAATATTATAGGGTTATAACTATGTGCAAAAAAAAAAAAAAATGAAGTCCCTAACTTTATAATCCCAAACTTTACATAAGACACACATATAGAATAATGGTAGATCATCATTATAAATAATTGTGACCCTGGGAATTAGCACAGTGCTTGGGAGAAGCAGGTTCTAATATCTTTTTAAGAGAAAGTTGTATGGCCAGATGAATAACTGTTACATTAGCAAAATATGACTCTTTTAAAATACTCAAGAATATCTACAGTACTTAAGCTATTTATAATGTATAAGCACAAATATATCAATTACATAGCTTGTAGCAATTTGCTTTGAGTTTAAACAAAACTTACCTCTTAGAAAAATTGTAAAAGATTGAAACCTAAATGGCCGGTTGTTAGAATATCCCTGAAAAGCATGAAGTGCCTTTGTGGCAATTATTTCAACTATCTGTTTATCTTAAAGCAAAGAATGAAAAAGAGCTGGTTATTAGAATGTATATTCAATTTAATTTCTATATTAAAATGCTAGACATAATTTAAAAAGTAGCAATTATGAAATGTAAATGCATTTTTACCACCAAGTACTCTAAACTTCCTGTCTTCCTGAAGTGAAGATGCACAAAGATCACACAAAAAATCATTTCTTACTGTTGCAGATTCTGTAGCACCAGGCACATGCACTCTTATATACTGAAATCCTAAAAGAAAAGAGGTGAGCTATGTTTGCTTTCAGATTTAGCTGTCCATTTCCAATACGTTAAGATTAATCCAAAAGATAATTAATTCAATTTTGCATGTGGGTTCAGAGCAGTTCAATTAAATATTATTGCATGACTGTTTTTTTGCCAGGCACTGGTAATATATATGATTAAACACACAATTTCAATGGGTAGCTATAAGAAATAGATAACTTCAATAAGAGTTTTATTTGCAGAATGTTCTGAAAAGAGAGGAGAGTCATCTAATTGAATGAGAGGTGGGGGTGGATGAAAAAGATGTCCTGGAGAAGGACTGAACTGAAATTCAGTCAAAGGGTTGAGAAGGGAAAATAGATGAAAAGTCATTAAACAACACGTGAGAATCAAGTACTTCAAAACAAAACAAGAGCATCTGTTATGCTGGAGGGGGACGATAAAGAGAAAAAATACATTTCAAGATTATGCAAAGTAAATTTAGAAACATTAAGGGGTACAAATTTTATTTCTCTCTTTTTAGACTTGGTGTATGTTTCATAACTGTAAATATGATTTAGGACTAAGCAATAAGTTGCATGATATTTTGATTTTACATTTTAATATTTACCTTTTGAAAGAGGGCATGCTTCATCTGAACAAAGAAATCTTGCACCTTGTGTATACTTGGTTACAGTTGTCATTGCAATTACAATTCCTTGCATCATATAAAATCTTTGAGATGTATAATCAAGTGGAAACTCACAAAGATCAAGACTATAACTTGGCAGAGGAGGTAAATGTGTTAACTTCAGTACTATATTGATCTAATAAGAACATAAAAATGGTATTAGAAAAAAATTGCAGAGCCAACTGGAGTTGTATTATAATATGATAAATAAAAAAGTACACAATTCATTAGTTATTATCAACTAAGAATTTAAGCATTTAAGAGATTCAAGTTCAAAATTAAAGAAACCAAACTTTTATAACCTTCCAATTGAAATTATCTTTATGAATTTGTTAATTTTCCTTAAAAATACACATTTACTGGTTATATCACCGAAAAACTTACAGAAAAATGACAGCACAATATCAATGAATACTTCTAACATACAGATTGTGATCTCTAAATATAATTTCTCACTAAAAGAACCACGATTGCTTAGGAGAGATGGGTGTTTACAGTTCTTTTGTGTGTGTGTGTGTGTTTTATTTGTGTAAATGTGTGTGTGTGTGTGTGTTTTGTTTACAGTTCTGAGGCAGAAAATATACCAGTGGACCTGGTGATTTCTATGTGCCTTATGCCAAGAGAGCTATTAAAAAAAGAGAGAGAGCATACTTTAAGGAGCAACCAAAGCCCAGAAATAGGATTATACTAGAAGCATCAAAGAAAATGACAGATTTGTTGAAACATCTGAAACATTTAAAAAATTATGAGTTCCTCATAATTAAAATAAAGGAAACAAAAACCAAAAAGAAAATACTGATCATCACTGAAGTCTGCTCATTTTCAACTCATTACTTTCTGAGAATTTAATAGAAAGAGATGAACATTTTCCCCTCCATTTACTGTACAAGTTTTATTTCATTGTACCTATACAATTGATAACCAAAATTCCCTTACAGAATAATTTTAGCTAATAAATTCAGAGATATGTTAAAGTTAGAAAAGCAATAATTTCCCCAATTTTTAATGAAAGAATGGATTCTAGGCAATGATCATTGATGGCAGTGAAAGCGCTGGTAGTTGAGTGTTGATGGGAGAGTGTATATTGGTGGGGTCAGATTGACATCACCTGAAACAACTTATCAATTGTGGCATTTCTAAAAGTGGCACAACAGATAGTATATTCCTCCTGATGTGGTACAATGTCAAATACACAACAGTGGGATGCATTCTCATCAAAATAAATTGCATCTGAATCTAAGCAAGTCTTTGAAGTCAGCTTCTATTTTCCAGCAAATGGGGCATAGGGAAATTAGTTAAATATCACATGAACATAAACAGATATATCCAGATTATGAGACATTTTACAGAAAAATTCTTTTAAAACTCAATGGTGGTATAACGGATTGAAGGACAGTACTATGAAGTGATCAGCAGCCACTGTAACAGGAGTTCAATCCTCAGCCAGGGAATGACCACATGGAGTAGCAAACCTCTCCTGGGCCCGCTGCTGTTCCCCCTGCACCCCTCGCAGTGTTCTTCCTCAATTTACCTGTTCTGCTTCGCACTCTGTCTCTGGTGAATCCTCTCACTGCCCCCCACAACCATGCCTCTGGCCTGTACCCCAGTTCTTAATTGCATAAATAAATAAATATTTACAAAAAAAAACTTAAAAAATAAACTCAGTGGTATAGAAAGGAAGGGAGAGGAAATGACTGTAGATTAAAAGAGACATAAAAACCAATTATTATTGTTTTTATTATTGTTTTGACCGTGTTTTCTGATTTGAACAAGTTAACTCTAAAGCATTCCTGAGACTCCAAATGGGTAAATCTAAATGTGTATTACTAACATTGCTATATATTACTATAATATTAAGTGTATTATGCTAAGTGAAATGTTAGAAGGAGAAAGACAAGTGAACTAACAAAATAAACAAAACAAAACAATTTTTAGTTACAGAGAGCAGACTGGTGATTATCAGAGGGGAAAAGGGTTGGGGGTGGGTGAGATGGGTAAAAGGGATCTATTTTATGATGGTGGGTGGAAACTGACTTTGGTTGTGATCATAACATAGTATATACTGATGTCAAAGTATAATGCTGTATACCTGAAACTTATGTAAATACACAAAATGATCTATACTCAACGAAAATGTAAAAAGTCCACACTTTTCAGATGCTGAAATTGAAGAAGGGCTGAAATAACAAAATGTCTGGGATTTGTTTTCAGATATTTTTTAATAAAGCTAAGGATGCAGGTATGGCAAAATATTATAAACTTGAATCTAAGTTCTAGATATATATAGATTCATAATATAATTCTCTTTATTTGGTGGCAATTTAAAATGATTTTTTATAAAAATATTTAACATTATAGTAATACACAAAGTAAAGATATATAAGAATTTCATTGCATTTGAAATAAAGCAACAATTTTTAATAAACAAAAATCCTATGAATATAAAAATATTTATTTACAAAAAATATTCATTTACAAGTGATCTTTAAATTATTGTATGTCAACTACAATGTATGCTACATTTAATAAAAGCTTACTTGCGTCTCAGTTTGTAATTGTTCAATTAATGAGAGAGTCTTAACAGCAACAAAACAGACCTGTAATTTAAAAAAAACCAAAAAGTTACCAAAATTTTCATTTGGCATAAAATCATTTCTTTCTTTAACTTACTGATTGAAAAACTTGAGCAGCTTTCAAAGGCTGATGTAAAATAAGATTTCCAAGTTCAGCATCTAATTCAACAACATCAGAAGGACTTAGTAAAATACTGAATCGATAGACAGCAAAATTTTGTTTTGAATCTGTTAAAATAAACAAATATAAAATGATAGGTACAGGGATTTATTTTAAAGTTTCTAAATTCTTAAAAGTCCCTTCGCTGAACATACCATTGTAATACTTGCAGTCATCCATAAATTTTTGGAGGCCTCCACTTCTGTCAAGATAGATAAGAGCTGCCTCTTTCATTTTCAGATTTGACATTTTCTCCTAGAGTCTTCTCTATCACTAATTAATTAAACCACAGTTGTAGGTAATTTCACAGATGGTGAAATTCATAGAAAATTTGAGAAAACCTAGAAATAAAATAAATTTACAATTTAACTCCTCTAAAAATTTTTACAAACTAATAAACTTAAAATTATGAGTAAAAAAAAATGAGGCAAAGATGGTTTTAAAACTTCCTACTGAAAGGAAGACAAAATTTTTCTTTCTTTTTCTAAATAACATTTTTTATTAACAACTAGGTTTTGAGAGTCTCCATATACTGCAAATTTAAGAAGGGCAGTTTCAAATATCTCATTACAGAGTAGACATTCCAAAAAAAATTTTTTTTGTTAAAATCTATTTGGGGTGAAGCCCCTTGCAGGAGGTGTTTAAAAACTAAAAGTGAAAAAAAAATTAAAAAGAAAACCTCAAACTTAAAATCGTTCCATAAGTTCACTGTAAGTAATCAAGTTAGATAACCTAAGAAATCTGAAAATAGTTCTATATCCATTTTCTAGTTGCTATAAGGAAAGCACTTTATCACTCCTTGTCTTCATCTGTAAAAATTGACGGGGTTGAAGGCTTAATTGCTGGGTTTGAATATTCTATCTGTGACCAAGATAAAATATACACCATAATAATTTGGAAAGAGTGGAATGTGTAAATTCATTTAAAGATAGCAAACAATAGATGTTGATAATTGTATTAGGTGATAGGGTAAAATAATTAAAATTAAATTCTATTGTCAAGGAGTTGCCAATCTAGAGAAGCCAGAAATAATGACGAACACATTCATTCATTATCTAATATTTATTGGGTGTCAGCTATTTATTGGATATCAGCCTGTTCTAGACACTGGGGATAATAAGATCAGTAAAATAGAGATCTTATTGTTTAGAAAGAATACAGTAAGGGATGAAAGATACATTTAAAATAATGATACAAATTAAGGTGTTATATATAAAGAACACTAATGTGCTAAGGGACACAGAAGGAACAATATATATAAAATAACTCTACACTGGGGTCATCTTTGTGTAGGTGTGACATTATTTTCTATTGTTTTTTAGACATTTTGATAGAGAAGTGATAAATTCTACTTTAAAAGTGAGATTGAGTAGCTAAGATTTCACTATTAGGAGGAGAGGTGAAGAGGAAGACAGTTTTCCAAAGTTAGGGGAACTCTCCATTTTACCAATTTTCATACCTACACTAGTGAACCCATAGAGTTCAGATATCTTTCTAAAGAAAAATAATTGACATTGTCTTTCTCTCTATTAATTATGGGGATGCTTTAGAGTTTCTCTGTGGTCATAACCAAAATGATCTTAAAGTATATGCTGTATTTAGGACATAACATCTGTGTTTCATTAGAACATAAGGCTGTGGGGATGGTCGGGGTGGGGAATTACTGACAGTGAAATGGTTAGGTGAGATTCAACCAGATTATGAAGTTGATAATGATTTTATAGTCAAAGGAAAGTCATCAAAGCTGTTTTTTAACAGGGGAAGAAAATGATCAGCTTTTTATTTTGGAAAGAAATGCCTCTCATCAGTGTGGGAAAGGAGTTAGAATAGAGGAAGAATCAGTCAACAATCAGTTTCTGACTGCTGGAATAGTGCCAAGATATGAATGTCCCAATTTAGAGCATTAGGATGGAAACGAATGGGTGAGATGGAGTCTAGACAATTCAGGGTTTCCCCAGGACTTGGTGTTAAGCATGTGATTATGCGGAAGAGAGTCGTCAAAAAGATATGTGGGATTTCAGTGTGGGTGTGGTGGATGATACCGTGTTAATGGAAATAAGGAACACTGCAGGAAGAGTAAGGAAATGATAAGGAAAATTCCGTTTGACGGCACTTGGGACATTACACTGACATAAACACTATGCTGACGTAAAATCAGAGCCAGGATTTCAGTAGTAAGAAATGCTAGAAAAAGCTCAGGTAATAACCTGTGTAAAGCAGAGGATATGGCATTTTTCAAGGCGGAGAGAGAGGAGGAAAAGTATGAAAACCTGTGCGTCGCAGAAAATAACGAGTGGGGACAAAGTTCTAGAAGTCTGTCCACAATCTAAAGAACCCACGAGTTGGTTCACTTTGCTCTGGCTGCCTCAGCAGGAAGACGCCTCAGTTGAGGCGAAGCGGATGAAAGTAAAACCCGTCTCATACCCGCGCGCCCAGGGCTTCTCCCACCCCAGCAGGACCTCCAGATACCTGAAACCCCAGCCCAGGTGAACGTTACATTCTCTCCTGACCCCACTCCTTGGTCAGCCACGCGCGTGATACCTTGAGTTGGAGTCTGACGAAGGCTCACTCAGCGATAGCGCCTCCTGACTTCGCTGCCGCCGAGGGGGCTGCTGGGATTCAGGTGCTGACTAGTCGCCATGGCAACTTGTCCTCCACTCCCTGTAATTTATTCATTATTATTGATCTCTCCCTGCCAACGGAAAAGTAGAGACGGGAAGATAGAAACTTTTGGTTTTCATTGTTATCTTAAGCCAAGGGTGTCCGTGGTTGTTAAAAATCTTACTAAAAATTCTTCTGGTGAGAATGGAAAACATTGTGGTCTATTTTGTAAATCATTCTAGGACTACCTCAGTGGACTACAAATAAAGTTACACTATGACCCAAAAACTCCAACTTTCCTTTATCTATTCTACATTGCTGATATGAGAGAGAATATATCCGTGGCTGCTTAGGGACTCAGGGGAAATGAAGGTGACCCGCCAACAGGTATGAATTGCTTTTGCTTAAAAACAAACAGGCAGTCCCTTGTGACACAACGGGTTAGGACACAGCACTGCAGGCTGGCAGCAGCTGCTTCAGTAAGAGTTCGAACCCCGGTCCCCGAAGGCAACCCACGTGGCAGACCTCTCCCAACCTAACCGCTGCTCCCCTCAGCAGAATACTTCGTCCATCTGCCTTTTCTGCTCCCAGCTCTGCCTCTGGTGAATCCTCTCGCTGCCCCTGCACCTATGGCTTGTACCCCAGTTCCATATGCATAAATAAATCTTTAAAACAATGATAAAACATACCACATTTTAATCGTTTTTAGGTATAATACAGTGGGACAAGTATACTCAAATTGTGCAACTTCATCACCATCCACGAACATTTCATCTTTCCAAATGGAGTTCAACAGTAACTCCCCCTTCCCACCTGCCTACTCTTCCACTATTAGCACCTGTCAAACAATTCTAGTTTCTGTCAGATGAATCTGACTACTCTAGGTATATTACCTTATGTAATTGCAATCATACATTATTAGTCTTTTTGTGACTGTCTTTTCACTTAGGAAAATGTCTTCAAGTTTCATTCATATTTAGCATGTCAAACTTTTCTTCTAAGACTGAATATTCCATAGTATGCATACCCCACATTTTGTTTATTCATTTGTACACCGTTTGTTTCTGAGGTAATGAATATGTTCTAAAATTGATTGTGATAATAATCACACAACTTTGAATAAACTAAAAGAACCAATGAACTGTACAGTTGAAATGGGTAAATTTGTGTGATATGTGAATTAAATTTCAATAAAACCCAATAACCCCTGGCAGGGGGTAGAAAGCACTGAACTTAGGACTTATGGTGGCTCCTCCTCCATTAGCATTACTCAATCCTGCTGTATTGCATAGATGAGGGGAATCCATAATGTAGAAGAATTTTGAGCCACTTTCAAATTAATTAATTCAAAGTAATTGAGGGCATTCATTCCAAGATTAAATAGAGGTGAGGAAATACCTCAGAATTTATTTCTCTGGCTGAATGTGATCTTTATTATTGGTGAAGTGAGGGAAATGTTTTGCTAGTCAAAATTGATTTGCATAGCAAAGTTATTGAAAATATCTTATACTAAGATTGTGGTTTATCTGAAATACTATTTTTGTCTCTACAAATACACTTTATTATCATTTTGCTGATAGCCACAAAATAATTTGCTGAGATTTTGATTGGATTGCACTATAGATCAGATTGGACAGTATTTTCTTCCTATCCACTTTGATTTCTTTCATCAGTTAGTTTTCCTCATGTAGATCTTACACATACTGGTAGGTTCAGAAGTCTTTTATCTTTTTGGATACTGATGTAAATGGTAGTTTTTAATTTCAGTTCAACTTGTTCATTGTTGCTATTTAAGAAAGCTATTGGCTTTAATATACTTATCCTAGTATCCTGTAATTTTGCTATAATCATTTATTCCAGGATTTTGTTGATAATGATTAGATTTTCCACATAAATGATGTCATCTGCAAACAAAAGAATTTTATTTTTTCCTTTCCAACCTGTATATCCTTGAGTACTCACTGAGTACGAAGTTGAAAAAGAGTGATAAGGAGGGACATTCTTTGTTCCTGATCTTAATGGGAAAATTTGTTTCTCACCATTTAGTATGCCAGTTGTAGGGGTTTTATTGTTTTGTTTTGTTTTAAAAACTTACTTATTTATGCATACAGAACTAGGCAGCAGGACAGCGGTGCAAGGGTGGTGAGACGATTCACCAGAGACAGAGTAGGGAGCAGAACAGGCAGATTGACGAAGTACACTACTGATGGCAGCAGCCGGCAGGACAGGAGGGGTCTGCCGGCTCCAGGTGGATCTCCTCAGGGGCTGGGTATAGAACTCGAAATGAAGTCGCTGCGGCTAGCTTGCAGTGCTGTGCTTTAACCCGTTGCGCCCCCAAGAAGGGCCCCAATTGTAGGTCTTTTGTAGGTTTTTTTTTTTTTTAAAAATCAAGGTGAGGACTGTTCTTTTATCACTAGTTCACTGAGTTTTTATCATGAATGGGTGCTGCTTTTTGTCAAATTCCTTATCTTCATCTACTGATATGATTATATGCTATGATGGATTACATTAACTAGCTTTTAAATGTTGAGCTAGACTTTATCCTGGGATAAATTCCACTGCCTATAGGGTGTAATTCTTCATACACTGTTGGATTTAATCAATTTTTCTTCAGAAGACTTTTGCATGTGTGTTTATGAGGGACACTGCTCTGCAGTTTTTTCTTGTAATGCCTGTCATGTTTTGTTATTAGGGTAATCTTGACCAAGAAAGGAATTAGGAAGTATTCCCTTTGCTTCTGTTTTC